TGATGGGCGCGCAACTGGTCATGGGAGTACTACATGCATATGCACGGAAAGATCGCTCAGCGAATGCCGAATTCACCCCCATTTCTGCAGAAGCAATTCTAGAGCATCAGCGCATACATTGCCTGAGACAAGCGCAGATCTATCGACTATCTAATGATAGCGGACAAGGCACTGAGCCGAATACCGAATCTCTAAGAAGCAACTCGCTTACCTCTGCCGACTCCATTGACAACCTTCCCGAGCCGGAAGCTGAGGATGAGGAAGAATTGGAGGAAAAGCATGGCTTGATGCATGGTACTGCTATGGACAGATATCTGACGAAAAAGATTCCAGCTCTCATCTCCTCTCGCTCGCTACGAATGCTGGAATTTTTTTATAATGCGATTGATCGACTTGTGTTGATTCTAGGATTTGTTGACATCGCTAGCGGCATAGTCACATATGGCGGCTTCTTTGTGAGTTTTTAGAAAGATATCTGAGGGCTTTACTAACTACAACAGATGGGGTCTCGTGTGTTTAGCGGACTGGCACACTTTATCAAAGGTGGTGTGTTTTTCTGGTATGGAATTCTGACGCTTGGGCGGTGGGCAGGCTGTTTGGCCGACATTGGATGGGCCTGGAACATCAACCCCTCCCCCCGAAATAAACGACCATCATCAGAGTTCGTGGAGAGCTTCTTGATATTCTTCTACGGCTCGACGAATGTCTTTCTGGAGCATTTGGCTGCATGGGGTAAAGAATGGACAGCTCAGGATCTCGAGCATCTCTCACTCACACTTATGTTCTTTGGCGGTGGATTGGTAAGGAAGATATCCAAACTTTCGAAAATTGCTGACCACTCTCAGTGTGGTATGGTTATTGAATCCAAGAAAGTTCGAGACCTACTCAACACCACCAAACAGTCTACGATGTCACATTTTCCCTATCATGCTGGAGAGCCCGAAGCAATCGAGGAGCCCAGGAGCTACAGATTCTCCATGAACCCTCTGCCTGCACTGGTGATCCTCCTGCTAGGTATGATGATGAGCTCTCATCACCAGGAATCCATGGTCTCTACAATGATTCATACACAATGGGGTACCCTACTAATGGGTGCTGCATTTGCGCGCGGTGCGACCTACATTCTCTTTTATCTGTCACCGCCAACTTCGATATTACCAGGAAGACCACCGACAGAGTTAATCACCGCATTTTGCTTGATGGCTGGAGGCATGATTTTCATGGCAAGCGTAAGTCTTTTGACTCGAGAATCGGGTCTCCGCAGTTCGCTGACAGTTTTCAGGCTCGAGACATAGTTATGGCGATGGAGAGCAATGGACTGGACGCAATGTTCATATTCACTGTCTCCATGGGAGTGATTACATTCATAATGGCTTGGATCATAATGGTGATTGCTATCAAAGGCTGGGCTGTGAGAAAGGAGAACAAGACGTTCGCATATCACGGAATTACATGAGTCTAATGACTGGACCGATTTGATTTCGGTGCATATGACTGGCGCATTGAATGATACCATCTTGATTAGTTCTAGGTTTTTCCACATGAATTTATGATAATTATTGTTTTCAGTCAATGGATTAGTGATGTCAGAATGAAGCTGAAGAATCGTTGCACTGGTACATCCCTTGGCTAGACACCTTACTGTGACAAAACTTTAGAGGCAGAAGTCCATCTTCAAAGCGAATTCCATGCGCAAGTTTCATAAGCCAAGTTGCTCTTCCCAAAATCCCCATTTTGGAGACCAGCCTTATGCAGCCTCGTTTTTTATGGCGCTCAGCCTTCCCCACGTGATCCTCCAATAAATAAAAATATCCCGGAAAATCCAACACCATCTCGTCCCCAAAACAGAACAACAATCAAGTATGGTAACAAAAACGAATGCCAAGCCAAAAAGGCATAAGAAAAGAAAGTCGAGGACTGAAGGTATGTAATACTCTAGGGATAATGGAGCAAGATGCTGACGAAATGCAGTGTCATCAGACAGCGAATCTGAGAGATCTAGCAAGCAAGTCAAGAGCAAAGCTTCCCGCTCTGAGGACGTCAAAGGATCATTATCGTCATCCACCGAGGAAATTGCAGTCAGCCTCCCTTGCCACTCACCAACCTACTCACCCTTTTCTCACATGAGCCACCTGTCCATCTGTCTAACCTTCTCAGACCCGCAAAAAGGAGCCTTCGTCAAAAGGCCTCGAAGCTGCAGATATCGAAGTTGCTTTCTCCAAGTTCTACATGCAGCGCGTAACGGCGGAGTTTGCTGATGATCTGGAGAGATTGAGGACCAGTGATGATTTCAAAGATGAAGCGGTGCCGATGCTGATTGCGGCACTGAAAGGTGGAACTGCGATGTTTTCGGAGGAGGAGAAGAAGAGGATTATGCTTGCTGGGAGTGGGAAGCATTTTTGAGGTTAGGGCTGGTATTGATGCGCATTTGCTGTGGAGTTTAAGGCTCGGGGCTCGGGACTCGGGACACTGTTTTGCTTGCTACCTGGTGTCTGGCAAGGGAACATGGCTATTCCAGCCTTTTCAGCTGGGGCTTGATATGTGAACAAGCATGAAGCAATGGAGGTAACCAGGTTTTCGGTCTAATTTCCTGTTGATGTTGAGACCCTGGAACTTGAGTTTACTCACTTTCTCCTGCCCCTAGCTGTTGTCAATGTGATGCCAAATCGCACATTTTGCGGTTCATTGTCTTATTGAAGACCAACATATTGTATGTTCTCCCCCTCGGACAATTGAGGCTGCCTTCATTATCAGTAGGGCAGCCTTTTACAAGCCTAGATTGTATCCAAGATTTGGACGCTTCAAAGTGTCTGACTTTCACAGATGGACAAATATTGGCCACTCTAAAGACAGAAATCTCCTAATGTGTTTCATTTACCTTTCTTGCTGATGCTCTGTATATATTACGTGAAGCAAGCATTGTACATATCGGCTCAGCAGCTGAAGAACATAAGCCGTCCAAAATTTGTCACCCACTTAATAAACATAGCGCTGTACATTGATAGCAATAGCTTGAATAATCGAGACCCACCGTTAGATGGGCCCTCTCAGACCGGTCTGTAAGGTGTAAATGAATAATTCGTCTTTTTGATAGCTATCCGAGCTCACACAATCAGATATTGATCAGTGGCCAAGTCGTGACGCAAACTCAAGTGATGCTCTCGCAAATGACGGCGCATGCCACTGCGAGTCAGTCCATTTTTGTCAAAGTAGTGGTTCTGGCGTCGTTGGCCCGTTCTGATGGATGCGGCGCATGGAAAGGCCGTCAGGTTGTACAAGACCCGTTATGTAATCTTCCTGGGGGTGCCAATCGACCGCATGCTGACTATGTGGATGTGCCTGTCTAACTTGGTCGGATTTTCATGTGCCTTCTTGCCGTGGTCGCTGAACGGATCCAATTCGCGTAATGGGTATGGCTGCTCTCCCCCAAGATTATCTCTGAGGTCTGTCCGCAGAATGAAACGTTTCTTCCTCACTGAATCGGCTGGCTCCTGACACGGCTCAGAACCGTCCACCGCTCCAGGCATTATCAGTCCAACTGGGTCGTCTATTGTGTCGACTGCGTCTCGGAATGCAGGAAGCAACCGCTGCTCGTCATCTTCATCATTAAATTCTGCCAATACGGGTGGAAGGCTTGTTGCCTCTGCCAGGCGACTGTTGACTTCAGATCGATTGGAGACTTCTACGTCACTTGCCCATTCTTTGTTGTCCAGTTTGGTTAGGGGTTTTTTTTGCCCAGTTCCTGGCTCTAGTCCTCGCCAGCTTCAGAGACTCTAGATTCTTGGATAGATCACCGTTCACACCTACGTATTCGCGCCAGGGCTTTGGCGACTCGGGTCCAGGGAAGCCGGTAATTGGTATCTACTGTCGCCTGCAGAGGTACGGACAATCAACATCTGACCCTTCACTTCTTGGACGAGCTCATTGAAATCAACAAGAAGCTGCGAATCTATTAATTGGTCTACAACCCAGCTCTCGCATGTTTCGATCGAGTACTCTTTCTTGGCGATGACAGCTGGCGAAGATAGTACCCGGTGGAGGCTATTCCGTAGAAACTTCATGCTCCCTTCTTCGAGCCGCAAGAGGTAACGTCTGTATCACCATTGCCAGGATCTTAGTACTCCAATGATGATCCCAATCGTTGACATCATGCCATATCTCTCGCTGTGTCTGGTGAATGATCCTTCCAATCGCAGTAATGAATTCCCTTCGGAAGATGTACGAGGAAACATCCTTAACGGCAAGGTTATCCAGTTGTGTGGCGTGCTGGAGAGGTCCAGAAAGCGCTGAAGTACACTTTGTTTTTACGTCGCCGAATGTAACGTCTTTGGTGATGTTGTCCGGCGTCCTGCTAAAGACTGGCTGCCTGGAAACGATCGGGTCTTGCCTTAAGATGAATTCGAGGCTATTGAGAAGCTCCTCGTAGTTCTGATCGAATGCAACTCTTTCAATCGCCAGCTGCAGTGGCATCCAAGTTGGGTCTGCAATGATGTTTACGGCGTCTCGGCAAGGCGATATGAAGAATTCGATTCGCTTGATGGCAGTGCTTCCAACCCTCGTATTTTTGCGCCTGCCCTTGATCCCCCCGTACGTCAACAGGACTGATAACCCAGACCGATCCGATGACCAGACGAATGGGACGTCCTCCCACAGCAGACACTTCAATCAGTGACATTTCGTGACCTTGGGAAGGATGATATTCTCAAGCGCAGCGGCTCTACGGAGTAAGTTGCCGGGCAAATGTCGGTTTAGTCGGTTAGCACTTGGAATGAATTGACCATTTAAGCAGAAATTTAAGGTCATCTCTGGCGCCGCCAGACCCCGGTATAAAATAAAAAGCCAAAACAAAATTGTAGTTTGCATCTAGTCCGAACGGCCTGCGCGAACAGGGTGTACTGCGCCTCCCAAGAGAACACAAAAGAGACCAGAGAGTGAGTGAGGTATCTAATTCTAGATAGCCAAAACAGACCAGCACAAAGCAAAACGAACAAAAAATTCATCGTCGCGAGCAGGATTTGAACCTACGAGGCCGAAACCATAAGATGACTGAATGCTGAATTCAAGTCTTACCCATTAACCACTCTGGCATCGCGACATTTGCAAATGTTTGTGGTGTCTGGCCAAAAACTTTCTTATTTAAATTAATACGAGAACTTAAAATTTGACGACCATCAAGCAGCTTGAGATTTGATTAGTCTCGTCTGGTTCTAGAAACTCTTATCTATACATTCTCGATTATGACCAGTTTTTACAATCATTCCAGTCAATTGTTGTACGATTCGTACAGCCTTTTTCTCCCTCTGCTGTTTGCATAACCGTCTCTTCGTTCTCGGCTCTTCGTCAGACCCTTCCTCACTACTAGTATTTCTGAGTCCAATATCTTGAAGAAGCTACCATGGAATTACATACTAACCGCCTCGTGATTGAATGTACGGGTTCTAGCGAAAAGTCACGACTTTGTGGGAGCAACTATCTAGTTATCGGAAGGATCCGTTGTTCTCTCCGAGGCCGTCGCCCTGAGTCTATGCCATTAGGGCCTTCAAATACGAATCAATGTCTTCCTGTTCGACATGGGTATCTATGGCTGATTGAGTTTTCAGTCGCAGTGCCTTTCAGATTCTCTCAATTCAACCTTTTTAAACATCTCGTTGGAAAAGTTTGACGGAGATCATCCACGGTTGTTAGGGTAAAATGCAGTGGCCGTAAAGTCCTTCAAATATTTCAGAGATCCCCATTCGCGAATCAGTCTGGCCGGCGGCTCAGACTGTGTGGCGATCCATTTAACGGATAGTATTCCGAAATCTGACGTCCTGATGATCAACAGGTCTGAAACTTTTGAAGACGCTGGCAGCGTCCAGTAAATAGAAGAACAGCGATGACGCCCTCGCACGTATGACCCTGGTACTACACTTCTGTGTTCTTTTCCATCAAACACAGGACAAGCGTTTAACTGGAGACGAATCGGCACAAGATAGAAAGGAGCTCGGAATACCTTGAAAGGCATTGAATCAACATTTTAGGAGGGAGAAAGCTAGGCCACTGGACTTGTAAATATAGGACAAAATAGTATATGGCGTCGGGGGTGACCAATGTATAATGCTGTTCGCGCACCGCTACTATTTTGGCAGAAGAAGTCTCCCCAGCTCCAGCAGAAGGTCTCCCTACCATCCACTTACCATTCTTCCGTGTCCGGTCTGCCCCTTTCCAACCTTTGACACAAGCCCAAGAGATGTTTCGCGGGATGTCGTCACAATCAAAGCAGGGCGACATTAATCACACTGAGGCGTACGAGCTTCGTCTCTCAAAATCAGAGTTTGTATTGAGAATCTTCCTTCACAGCGTGGAAGTTGTATGCTACCGATGCCATTTCCGCCAGCGAGTGTGTTTCTGCGAGCTGCACTTAAGCAGCAATCGTAACCTCGACCTCGACACCAGCCTCGATGTTGATGATGATTTGCTTGACTACCTCGGTGGGGGCGTTGAGACTGTACGTATCTTAGCAATGTGGTGAATCCAGTGTAGCAGATGCCATACTCAATAAGACGCTTGTGGATTCTCATCTCGAAGGTGTCCCATGTCTTGGAACCTTCACCACAGGGGGTCTTTCGGGTGGTAACCTTGAGGGTCTTGGTTGGAAGACGGACAGGGCCTTTGACGCGGAGATCCTTTCCCTTTGCACGCTCAATGAGCTCCTGGCAGACCTTCTCGAGCGATTGGACCTTTCGGCTGGTCAAGGTGATGCGGATCTTGTGGGTTTTCTGCGAAGGTCAAGTCAGTACGCGCTCATCCTCCAAACTCCAAAATTCCAATTTCGCAACGTACTGGCCCCTCGCCGAACTCCTTCTCTGGCTTCTGGTAAGACATTTTCCTAAGTATGGGTAGTCCCTTCACGACTCGATCGCTGAGATTCGGCAAAGTGATGAAGGTGATCTTTTTGCGGGTTTGCAGTTGTCGATGGTGGGAAAGAAAGAGAGCGGGCCACGGATGTGGTGGGAAAAGAATGTGGGCGGGCGAGAAATCTTGGCGCCACACAAGCGAGGGGAGACGAGTTCTGATTGGTGGCGCTTTCCAGCAGCCTTGGGGTTTTCAGCCTTGCTGCATGAGGTGGGCATGACATGACATCGCGTTGTCATCACCGATTTGTACCCACAGCATTCGAGACGAAGCGAGACAGGGTCACTCACTCACTCACTCACTCACTCATCCATCCTGAGTCAATCGGCGAGGGAATTAGAGCTGATCATGATTGGACGTGGATTCAAGTCATGCTGATTGATAAATACCCTCAAGTAGTAGTATTCGATTTTGAAGAGGTCTTCCTCCCTCCTTTCCTCAGTCGTTTCTGGCCCGACATTGCAAAATGGCTGTTGCCAGCTTCCCGAAGTTTGTGCCTTTCCCGGAAGCGGCATGGAGGAATCATATTGTCCCAGAAGAATGGGAGGCTTGTCTCGATGCCTGGGTTGCCCTCGCTGGAGCGCACCTCGCCTTATCCGCCTCTGATTTTGTCCAGTCATCAACGACAGACGAATCCTTGACGACCTTCCTCACTTCATATGCTTCAGAGACGGCTATATCCCTTGGGAGCTCATCTACCTCCAGACCAGCCAAGGAAAAGCAGTTACGGAAGTTGTCCTACTTATTGTCAACTCGACTCTTGAATTCCGAGGACCCTCACGAGCCAGTCCTTTCTTGGGAGTTTCTGGCAGACCTCAGCAAGATTTATGGGCAGAGTAATGGCGGGAAACTCGTAGCTCTGGCTTGGGCCAGACATCGCTCTGCCTTGGAGAATTCCTTGGGTTCCCTCAAAACCTATTTGATCAAGCAGCTTGAGGCAGGGCTCAAAGGAGACCTGAAAATGGTTGAGTCGAGGCTCAAGCGCCTGGATCACCTTCTCCATGCATCTCCTCAGATCGCTGCATTTTTCATGGCTGGAAGCGATTTCGTGGACTCTCTCATCAGTTGTTTCAAGATCATGAATCCTCCATTGCGAATGGCCATTGTCTCGACCCTGTATCTTTGTTTCATCGGTCTCACGGAAGGCGAGCAGCTTAACTTCTCTTCACTCGTTGACCAGCTTTACTCTCTAAAAGCTGCAGCGGATGCCCACAAGGCTGGGCCTACAAATGTCAACGACTCACTGGTAGCCGAGCTGGTAACCGAAACCCCGCTACTCAAACAAGTACAGCAGCGGATCGATGCAAGTGGTACTGGATCTGTTAGAGCAAAGTCCGTCCTCAAGTCTCTTGCTGAGTTCAAGAAACCTGTTGCTAGTGGAAGAGCGGCAAGGGTCAGCAAGAAGAAAGTGATGAAAGGCAAGAGTATTGATGTATCCGGCCACGGGCACATCCACATACATCGGATGAGCTTGATTTCTCAGGTCCAGGATCTTTTTCCGGATCTTGGATCAGGGTTCATTGTCAAGTTACTAGATGAGAACGGCGACAACGTTGAGCAGGTAATTGGCCACTTGTTGGAAGGGTCTCTGCCACCACATCTCGAAAATGCGGACCGGTCAGAAGAGCTGTAAGTCTTCTCAAGAAACGAATTTCAACCCAACTGTTCTGACAGAATCTAGTGGTGCCCATCATCAACACAAACCGGATATAGCCCCCAGCTCCGACCCGCCAGAACTTCCAAACCGGCGTAATGTTTTCGACGATGACGAATTTGACAGACTTGCTGTCGATGCATCAAGATTGCATTTTGGCCGTCGGAGTCCAGACAAGACCGCAGATGACGTTCTCCAAGATCGACTAAATGCACCCAGCAAAGCAGCAATCTTATCAGCACTGGCCACTTTTGACTCAGATGACGACGAACGCGATGATACCTACGATGTTGAAGACGTAGGGGGGACTGTGGACTCCGCGACGCCTGGAAATAACCCAGAGGAATCAAATTCAGATGTCCGAGATGCCCATGACGAATCTCTTTTCCGAGCATACAAGTCAACACCAGAGCTCTTCGGCCGTGATGCTGCAACTCGCAGAGGGAAGCTAAGACAAAACCTCAAAGACGAGACCGGAATGACGGACGAGGCTATCGAGGGCTGGGGACTCATGCTTTCAAGGGATCCTCGACAGATGAGACGACTGGAGGCGAAATTTACTTCTTTTACTGGTGCACAGCGAGAGTTAGGTCCTTCGGCTTGGAGAGCTAGTCCTGCCGGCTCTGGGACAGAGGATTCTGATAATGCGAACGACCGAGGTCGGGGAGGTAGGCTTAGAGGAGCGCCTCGTGGTGCTAGAGGTCGCGGCCGTGGTTATGTTGATGGTCCAGCTGGTGACAAAGAGACCGAAGCTGCTAGGAATCGGAAGGAGGCCAATAAAGGCTCGAGAGCAAACCACAACCGGAGAGACCAGAGGGCTCGTAAGATGGCTAGAGGAGGATTCCCTGGTTAAACTCGAGTATCTCATAGGAATCACGAATAAAGAGAAGATTCACGACCACAACTTTGCCCGGATTGATTATTTCAAAGAACCGTATATAGTCCGAAAAGGTTCAACACGGTTAAGTAACGTGAGTGCCTACCACCACTACTACACCAAATGATCCGAAATCCACCTCAAGACCCAGAACCTTCTCCTTCAAACCTTCTACCACAGTAGCCTATTCCTTAAAAGTCAACCCCCCACCAAAACTATGCTCACTATTTCCTCCACCATTTGTAACCACACCTTCTGTGACGCCAGTCTCGTAGGCGCAGCTGCCCATATCCAGTTTCTTGGCCACGCCAGTTGGTGAGATGTCGAAGTCGAAGATGTCCATGGGTAGGCCAAGGGTGGTGCAAGCGCTGAATACGTCTGTTAGAATTTGGATCTGACAAGTACAAAACGCATTGTGAAAGGGGGCTTACTTGGGGATGTCAACAATGCCAGCTACGTGCCCTTGCACTGGGGCGCAGGAGAGAAGGAGGTAGACCTGGTAGTCTGAGTAGCCAAAACGACGGAGATACTCGATACATCCTGGGAGCAGTCAGTGGCCGAACTTGGCTTTCGATGGAAAGACTTACGAAGGATAGTCTGTCTGTATGCCACAGTAACATCCATATAATGCTATGTATCTCGTCAGTCTCATCATATCCCCGTCACTCCT